TGGAGAGAGGGAAAGAGGACAGGAGGGAGGGAGGGGAAAAGCCAAGCTCCAGATGTGTCTTGATTTGTGAATGACCTCTCATCTCAATCCTTCTAAACCGGAAATCAGAACAGTCTTCCTGAGGCCTCTGTCAGATCTGGGTCGATTTAAGCATAATCTCTCCCTCTCCTCTAACCCCCAGCTTTTTCTCCAGCTTCCATCTCTTAGCACAGTAAACACATCCTCTCCCCCCCACACCCCTCAAACACGTTTGTTTTGTTCATGTGTTTTGCTTTATTTCACCATTGACGCTTCCATCAAACAGGAAAGGAAGGTCATTTCCAGGGTTTCCTTCCCAAGGTGTTGCATTGAGGGGCAAGTGAGAGGGCAGGGCAGGGAGAGGAAGAACAGCTGTTCCCCTCATTAAAATGTTTTTTTACTACAAATCTACATGGAGTGCATCTGGGGGACAGGATTAAGTGAGAGAGGGCTTTACCCTTTTGCTGATTGATAATTCTCTACTCAATCATTGCTTGGCAACGTAGCCTTGCCATATCTTATTTAATAGTAATGCACCACAGAATCTACACTTTGTAACACTGAACAGTAAGACCTAGCCTACCATTTTTTAAAAAATTATTTAGCCCAACCTGCTTTGGCTCAGTGGGTAGAGCGTCAGCCTGCAGACTGAGGGGGCCCATGTTCAAGTCCAGTCAAGGGCACATGACTGCTGAAACTGGTTTGGCTCAGTGGATAGAGTGTTGGTCTGTGGACTGGGGCGTCCTGGGTTCAATTCCGTCAAGGCCATGTACATTGGTTGTGGACACATCCCCTGTGGGGGGAGGGTGCAGCAGACAGCTGGTCGATGTTTCTCTCTCATCGATGTTTCTAGCTCTCTATCTCTCTCCCTTCCTCTCTGTAAAAAAATAAATAAGTAAAAATAAAAAAATAAAAAAATCAATAAAATATATTTAAAAAGGGGGCGGGGGCACATGCCTGGGTTGCAGGCTCAATTCCCAATTGGGGCATGCAGGAGGCAAGCAGTCAAAGATTCTCTCTCATCATTGATGTTTCTATCTCTCTTTCCCTCTCCCTTCCTCTCTAAAATCAATAAAGATATATTTTTTAAAAAATTGTTTAAAGGCATTCTGGTGAATTTTATCTATGCTGCCTTTTACTGGGTCTCCTCGGTCCAGCCTAAGAAGTCCCAAGCTCTCTCCTCTGACTCCCAACATCTTCATGTTTGCTTACAAAGATGTGAGGAACTGTGGGGAAGTGGGAACGAACGAATCCCCCCAGTCTGGGGGTGACAGTTTCCCTCAGAGAGGAGATGCTAAGATGGTTTTCTTCACTTTCCTTTTCTGATGGAGAGGAGATGGAGGTTGATGGGAGTGATATGAAATAGCTGGTTTACCAGAGTGAGAGAAAAAGGACTGGGAAAACAGCCGCGTCCGCACTGAGCAGAAATGGCCTGTCCTTGTTACCCTGTGGATCTGGGCTGCCTGTCACTACTTGAGCCAAGTAAACAGAGACAGAATTGAATCTTATATGAGCATTTTTTCCAATAATGCCAGCAGCATGGGAGAGCAGCAGGTCATTCATGAAAATCCGCCCTGCACCCTCCATAAACCAGGCAAACAGGCAAAAGGAATAAGAATGGATATGACAGTTACTGATTACAGGTATTGTGGGCCTCCATTGTTTGGGCAATAAGGTTGTTAGTCTTCCCAGGATAATAGGCAGTTCTTGGTTGAGAACGGACCACATTCTAAGGTTGACTCCCGGGTCCCAGGGGTGTATAACTCTCAGCCTGGTTAGAATGTGCTTTCTTTAATCAGAACAAAACAATCACAGTTAACAGAGAACGATTCATGTTTCTTATAACTAACAGCTAGTCCTCAATATTCTATTTCTGCCCCTAACACCACCAGCTGAGGCTGTCAGCTAACTGTACTCCTTGAAACTAAAAAAGTAAGTTCTTTGTTTAAGGGGAGACCCATGGCTGCCACATGTGGCATCTGGAGGCAATTTTGAAGAAAAAAAAAATTACGAAAGCAATAGATGTATGGAAAGCAGATTTAAGAAATGACCACATTAAAGGAAGCCTGGCCTGTGTGCTTTTCCAGGACTGTTTTATATTGTGCTGATTCTTCAGGAAACGGTCTCCTCCTGGAAAATAAAGTCCAGAGGACATTTTTTCCTTGGGGAGCCCAGGAAGAGATCCTCTGAACCAATCTGGTGTCCCTGTAGTTACAAGATGCACGAGTCAGTAAACAAGAAGCGAGGCCAGGGGTCTGAGAGCACCCTTTGCCAGCTCAGCAAGCCCCAGGCTCCCCAAGGGCGTACCTGACCCTGTCTGGCAACCTCAGAGCCAGAGAAAATAAAAACCCAGAGCAGCCAGGACCGGTTTGGCTCAGTGGATAGAGCTTCGGCCTGTGGACTGAAAGGTCCCGGGTTCGACTCCGGTTGAGGGCATGTACCTTGGTTGTGGGCACATCCCCAGTAGGGGGTGTGCAAGAGGCAGCTGATCGATGATTCTCTCTCATCGATGTTTCTAACTCTCTATCCCTCTCTCTTCCTCTCTGTGAAAAATCAATAAAATATATTTTAAAACACACCCAGAGCAGACGGAGCAGGAATGGCGGAGGTCTGGGGAGGGGCGTGCAAGGCCCTTCAGTCAACCAGTGATGCCTCCACATACTGGTTTTCACTTTCCTGCCCCTTCCTCACTCATGCACATCAGTAAGCACAGACAATCACATGCACAAGTCACACACAATGAAAACATGTCCACCTGCTGAAATCATGTCCACTCTCACATACACTTCAAAAAGCCACACGCACATACACTTCTCCAGCCAGACAGGGGCCTTCATGTCCACACCCTGCTATTTCAACCAACACTTGTGCACCTGCTACCAAGTTTCCAAAACATCCCACCTGTGCAGATGGCAGACAAGAGACTGTAGCATCCATACTCATAAACCCCAAAAAATATATAGAGGAACAAAACTAATCAGACATTAAAAAACACAGTGACTTTATGGTAACTTAAAACCTACAAACATCTGGAACTGCTAGAATTGCCTTGAAAGATATTTCCTTTGACTATAGATGCCCACTGAAACGGGGTGGGAGCTGGGGCAGGGGCAGATAGATAGCCCAGTGTGGTAACCCAGAAGGACTTGGCTGTTATCTTAGCCATCCCTTGCCTCCTGCAGGAGGGAACTTAAGCTCTCAGGCCCCATGTTTCGGGGAGAGAGTGCCTGCATCTGGAAAGGGGATCACACACTTCTGCAGAGGAGTGGAGTGCCGGGAGCAAGAGCCCAATCCATGCATGCTTAAGTTTGAACCTCAGCATTGCCACTTCCTGCCTGTATGACCTTGGCAAGTTAGTCAGTCTCACTGTGTTTCATTTCCCTCATCTATAAAATAAGGATAATCTTAGTACTTACGAAGCAGGTTGCTGGGCCTGGTGCATCATAAGAGCAAAGTATGTGTTGGTTATTATTCTACTGCTGGGAGTTCCTCAGCTCTGGGGCTTCCACAAGGTCCCTGGTTCTCTCATGCAAACTTGTCCCTAGCCCTAACCGGTTTGGCTCAGGGGATAGAGCGTTGGCCTGCAGACTGAAGGGTCCCAAGTTTCGATTCCAGTCAAGAGCATGTACCTTGGATGCAGGCACATCCCCAGTATGGTGTGTACAGGAGGCAGCTGATCAATGTTTCTCTCTCATCTATGTTTCTAACTCTCTTTCCCTCTCCCTGCCTCTCTGTAAAAAATCAATAAAATATGTTACAAAAAGTAAACTGTCCCTCCAGCATGGCTAGCTCCCTTCACCAGGTAGGAACAGCTCTCACCAGGATTTCTTCATCCCTCCTCCCCTTCCCTATTAAGGAGTTTTTAAAAATATGTTATTTATTGATTTTTTTTGGGGGGGGCATCAATTTGTAGTTCCACTTATCTATTCATTCATTGATTGCTTTTTGAATGTGCCCTGACCAGGTATCAAACTCGCAACCTTAACATACAGGGCTGCTGACCACTGCTATCTGGACCAGAAATGAGGGCTTTCCCAGGGCAAGGGCAGGGGTAGCTGCAAGGTTGCAGCCTATTACCTCTTGGTGGGTTTGCTAGGAATTGGGAAGAGGCTTCTCCATTGGTTTGGAAATCTATCTATCTATCTATCTATCTATCTATCTATCTATCTATCTATCTATCATCTGTCATCTATCTATCTCATCTTTCAAGACCTATGTAGTTCTGCCTCACCCCTTTCAGTGTGAAATGTTTCCCAAAGAAGAGAGAACCGTCATTCCTCCAAGGGCAGAGATGTGAAAAGGGCGGTTGCCTCTTTCTCACTCCGACGCAGCCAAAGATTTATCCCTTCAACCCATGACAATTCATTTCCCCTCGAGTCCACTCTGCGTTCAGCGGGCTCCCAGGTGAACTGAAACCCCGAGCTATTCTCATCTGGTTGCCCCGGGAGTTTCAGCGCTCTTGGTACAACCTGTTCCTCCATCCTCGCCGCTCCCTCCCAACCTCTCTCCCTCGCCCTGGCGCGACCTCTCAGCCCTCCTCCCTCCCCTGCTCAGGGCCCCCGCTGCACCCTCCGGAGAGACCAGAGACGCACGCTGTTTGGGTACCGGGGAGGGGAGGCGGGAGGAAGAGGAGGGGAGGGGAGGAGGCGGGAAAGGAGGGGAGGGGAAGAGAAGGGAGGGAAAGGCAGGGCGCCGCGCCGCCGGGAGGGGCGGCTGAAGGTTGCATCTGCTGGAAGGAGGCTTTTGGCTGCCTGGTAACGGGCTGCCAGAACCCAGAGACAGGCAGCGAGCTAGCTGGGCAGCGGCTTCCTGACGTCAGGACCTAGCGAGGGGATCGCGCGCGCCAGCAACACCAGCCCGCCCGCCCCACTGGTGCGCCAGCCGACGGCGGGAGAGGAGCCCCACGCCAGGCCCTCGCGGGGTGTGAGCGGGGGCGCGGGAACGGACCCACAGGGGCGCAGCATGCCCCGCGCCCCAGGGCCATGGAGATCTCCCTGCTGTCCCTGGAGAACGGCGGGGCCATGACCGTCCGAGGAGGAGGAGGTGAGGCCCGGGGGGGCTGCGGCCAGGTCCCAGCGGGGGAGCTCCAGTGCCCCTCGACGGCCGCGCTCTGCGACGGACCCAGAGGGCCGGCGCCCGGGGGGTGCGGCGCGCCCGGGAGCGCGGAGCCCGGAGCACGGCCTTCGCCCAGGCTGCCCCCGCAGCAGCCGCAGCCGCATAGACAGGTCCCCCCGTGGGACGAGGAGGGCGAAGGCGACCCCGCCCGGGGCGCGGCGGCGGAGGACGACCCGGTGCCCAGCAGCGCGGCCCCGGCCCTGCACCACCAGCGCGTCCACATCAACATCTCGGGCTTGCGCTTCGAGACGCAGCTGGGCACCCTGGCGCAGTTCCCCGACACCCTCCTGGGGGACCCCGCCCGGCGCCTGCGCTACTTCGACCCCCTGCGCAACGAGTACTTCTTCGACCGCCACCGACCCAGCTTCGACGGCATCCTCTATTACTACCAGTCCGGGGGCCGCCTCCGCCGGCCCGTCAACGTCTCCCTGGACGTGTTCGCCGACGAGATCCGCTTCTACCAGCTCGGGGACGAGGCCATGGAGCGCTTCCGGGAGGACGAGGGCTTCATCAAGGAGGAGGAGAAGCCCCTGCCCCGCCGCCCGTTCCAGCGCCAGGTGTGGCTCATCTTCGAGTACCCGGAGAGCTCGGGCTCCGCGCGCGCCGTCGCCATCGTCTCGGTCCTGGTCATCCTCGTCTCCATCATCACCTTCTGCCTGGAGACCTTGCCCGAGTTCAAGGACGAGCGCGAGCTGCACCGCCATCCCCAGGCGGCTGCGGCTGCGGCTCTCCATCCCCCGCCTTTGGGGGGGCCGGCGGCTTGGGGGGCCAATGGCAGCAGCGAGGGGGTCGGGGAGCCCTCCTCCTCCGGCTCTGGCCCCACGGCGGCGGCGGCGCCTCCTCCTCGGCTGCCCAGGACCCTGGCCGACCCCTTCTTCATCGTGGAGACCACGTGCGTCATCTGGTTCACCTTCGAGCTGCTGGCGCGCTTCCTGGCCTGCCCGAGCAAGGCCGACTTTTGCAGGAACATCATGAACATCATCGACGTGGTGGCCATCTTCCCCTACTTCATCACCCTGGGCACCGAGCTGGCCGAGCCGCAGTCCTCCGGGGGCGGCGGCGGCCAGAACGGGCAGCAGGCTATGTCCCTGGCCATCCTCCGGGTGATCCGCCTGGTCCGCGTGTTCCGCATCTTCAAGCTGTCCCGCCACTCCAAGGGGCTGCAGATCCTGGGTAAGACCCTGCAGGCCTCCATGCGCGAGCTGGGCCTGCTCATCTTCTTCCTCTTCATCGGTGTCATCCTCTTCTCCAGCGCCGTCTACTTCGCCGAGGTGGACCACCAGAAGAGCCACTTTTCCAGCATCCCCGACGCCTTCTGGTGGGCGGTGGTCACCATGACCACGGTGGGCTACGGGGACATGAGGCCCGTCACCGTGGGCGGCAAGATCGTGGGCTCCCTGTGCGCCATCGCCGGGGTCCTCACCATCGCGCTGCCCGTGCCCGTCATCGTCTCCAATTTCAACTACTTCTACCACCGGGAGACGGACCACCGCGAGTCGGAGGAGCTGGCCGCCCTCAAGGAGGAGCAGGGCAACCAGAGCCAGGGGCTGGGGCCGGAGGGCAGAGGCCAGCAGCGGAAGGCCAGCTGGAACAAGGGGTCCTTCTGCAAGGGGTCCCCCCCGGAGAATGCTGAGGGGGCCCGAGGGGGCAGCTGCCCTCTAGAGAAGTGTCACCTCAAGGCCAAGAGCAATGTGGACCTGCGGAGGTCCCTGTATGCCCTCTGCCTGGACACCAGCCGAGAGACAGATTTGTGAGGGGGCTGGGGGGGGGGGATCTGGTGGGATGGCGGAAGCCTCCCGAGCTTGGGCCTCTTTACATTATACCACAGAGTATTTCAAACCCACCCTGTAACCCAAGTCTGTCCCTCTTCCTTTCCCTCCTCCCCTCCCTTCCTCCCTCCCTCTTTCTCTGGATCCCCCCAACTTTCCCTCTTCTTTCCATGACACCAAGGGTCGCCTATTTTTAAAAAGTACCACATTCCATGACGCAAAGAGCTGTTAAAATGGTGAGCACCATGAGATGGATGTATTTGTAGCCAGTTTCCTATACCCAGCAGAGGAATAACCCAAACAAAAATGACTTTAAATAGCCCAGATCCCCAGGGATTTTATACCCCCCCCCCATCCATGTGTTCCAAATTTGCTTTACATATTATTATATTTGTGTATAGGGGGAAATATTTTTATGGCTAGTGAGAGGATTTTTGTACTGTAGTTCAGATGAAGATATTTTGGATATATTTTTCTTGGACATATGTTGTCTTTATGGAAGAGAGAGTTACTGTGATGTTTTTCTGTGAAATGTAGAGTCCGAGACCCTGGGTACAGGGTCTGGCTCCTGTGTCTGTGAGCCTCTCTCTTTTCTGGGATGTGGTATCGGTGCTGTGCATCTAGGGCAGGGAATGTTCTGGAAGAAAGGCAAGCCTGACTCTTTTCTGCGCGCCTTAAACAATTCTTATAACTTCCTTCGGAAAGCATGTTCATGATGTTGGAGGGAGACTTCTGACAATTCATTCTTTGCTTTTATCCCATGAAATAAAATGTTACTTGGTTGAGGCAAGCGTTAGTTTTCTACACTGATGCTTTTCTTTCTTAAATAATAATAATAATAATAATAATAATAATAATAATAACAATAATAATAATAATAAAAAGCCTGTCACTTGCTGTTTCTGGTTTTGGAGTCAGAGCAAATGCCACCTTGACTGGGGAAGAAAACTGGGAACCCCAATGATTTGATCATCAACATATTCTTGCTGGGTCCCCTCTGTGACGCATCGAGGAGCAAATTCTGTTCATCTCGGGCCTTTGATGGCCTGGACCCCCTGTAACATGTTGGTATGAGACCCAGCCATCAGCATGGACTGGGATGGAGCTAAAGGCAGAGGGTGACAGGGACCCCCCTTCCGCTCCCACCCCCCCCACCCCCCACTGCTGTGGTCTCCGGCTGCTGGATTCTTAACTCTCCTTTGTCTGCAGGTTTTAAGCTGTCCCTGCCATGACTCTCAGCAGCCCTGGGAAACAGGCCCGATTCTCAGGCATGAAGTCCGTTCACAAACGAGGCCCTGGAGTGAAGGTCACAGAGGGAGGGAGGGGAGCAGCACCTGCTATGCTCTCCCTGCCAACTGCGATGGACAGAGGAGAATGCACTGCCCTTTGGTGGACGAAGGCAGCCAGAGTCCAAGAGGGAGGATTTGCTTGTCCACAGTAAAGGCTAGTTGCTGCCATGTCTGGCGTATTCCCTAAACCCAGAACGAATTTCTTTGTTTCCTTTTCACTGGACGGTTGTGGAAAAACATCACAGTGGGTAGGTATAACACTGGCTAGAATTTCTCTCTGGGATTAGCTATTCCCATGGGGGCTCTGAATTCCTGCTGTTGCTTTTTCTGCCCAGTTATCCGAAGCCTGGTTATTTCACATGGTCGCCAGGGAGGCTGGTGGTCCACAGTCACGCCTCCCCCACGACAACAGTGAGCCGATAGCTAGTAGTGAGGGTGCTTCCGCATCCATGTCTCTGTGGGGCGGGGGAGGATCTGCTAAATTGTTGCCTGGGGATTATGGGCTTAAGATGCTGACACAATGACAAAGCCAGTGCCTGTGACTGAGCAGCCAACCTGAGGAGGAAACAGGGCTGCAGGCTGGGTTCTGTTGTTTTTCACCACATGCTGGGGCAAAGGAAGAGAAGCAGAGACATTTTACTTATTTATAATTTACAATCTGCCTCAAAGCAGGCATCTTGCCAAAGCTCAACTCCACGGAGTCTCACCTCCAAGCCCTCTATGGCTTTAAAGCCAATGCGTGGAGTTCAGCACACACCTCGTGATTGGGACTGGGCCACCCAGTCCCGGGCTCAACCCTCCCTTCAAGGCAACAGAAGTTACTACCGTGGACCGGAAGGACAGTTCTTTCAGGCTTAAGCAACCAAGACTGCGGTGCAGTGCCCTGGGCTTAGAGGTGTCCAGGTGCCTGACAGTCTGCGTCGTTTTGTTTTGTTAATCCTCACCTGAGGATAGTTTTTAAAAATATATTTTTATTAACTTCAGAGAGGAAGGAAGAGGGAGAGAAACAGCCATGATGAGAGAGAATCATGGATCGGCTGCCTCCTGCAAGTCCCCCACTGGGGATTGAGCCCACAACCTGTGCATGTACCCTTGACCGGAATCAAACCTGGCACCTTTCAGTTCACAGACCAACCTTCTATCCACTGAGCCAAACCAGCTAGGGCCTGAGGATATTTTCCCACTGATTTTCAGAGAGAGTGGAAGGGAGAGGGCAAAACAGAGAGATAAATATCAGTGTGAGGGAGACTCATCAATTGGTTGCCCCCCGCAGCACCATGACCTGGACCCGGGACTGAGCCTGCAACTGAGGTCCCTGCCCTTGACCAGAATCAAACCCGGGACCCTTCTGTCTGTGGGCCGACGCTCTATTCACGGAGCCAAACCGGTTAGGGCCAGCCTGCATCTTTAATGCCTAGTAAGTGGGTGCAAGCTGAAATCTTCAGGGTGCAGTGGAGGAAAGGAGAGAGTGAGTTCCTATTTTGTGTGAAAGGAGAGGATACTGCAGAACAGGTTTACCAAGGGAATCGGGGGGGGGGGGGGCTCCAGAGGACCTCCCAAAGTGGGGGTGATAGGCTGCTGCCTCTCATCTCCGTTGCCAGAGGTGTGGAATCTGTCCTGGGGTGCTGGGAGGGGCACCCACTGGACAGCACAAGCATTTCAACCTCCGTGTCTTCTCAATGTGCCTGTTGCTATGGTTATGAGAAAGGCTGGTTCACCTGTTCCTGTGCTTATCGGGAAAGGAGCCTGAATGTCAAGGCTCTTACTTGGGCTGCCTGAGGTAAGAGGCCCCTCCTGTCCCCTCTCAGCCTCCCCTCCTCTGCTGTATTGATTTCCCACCACCTTTACCTTCCTGAGGAGATTACATCAAGTGGCCTCAGCCAAGCTTTTTATCCAGATGTTGCTTCTTGGCCCCCACAGCAGGAAACCACCCCATCTCCCAGCTTCAGCAATCGCAGTGCAGAGAGCAGGGCTGTGCTTGGGCTGTGCTTCGGGGTAAGAACAGCGTCTCCCCTGCAGTACCTGCGTTTTGCTTATCTGATTGCTGAACCCTAAGCAATGACAGACAGAAAAAAATTTTTTTACATGCTTTTTTTTTTTTTTAAATAAAACATATTTTTATTGATTTCAGAGAGGAAGGGAGAGGGAGAGAGATTGAAACATCAATGATATGAGAGAAGCATTGATTGGCTGCCTCCAGCAGGCCCCACACTGGGGATGGAGCTCTCATCCTGGGCATGTGCCCTGACCTGGAACCGAACTGTGACCTCCTGGTTCATAGGTCAATGCTCAACCACAGCCACATTGGTCAGGCTTTTTCACCTGCTTTAAAAGCCCCCGCTCCTTGGTTCACCCTGCCAGGGACACTCCCTGGAGGGGAAAACGAAACTGTGCCAGTCCTTGAGGAATCTTTTCATAGAGTTGGGCTTTGAGTTATTCTAGTGTTAAAGACATGAGCACTTCCAGGCTTGGGCTGCAAGGAGCGAAGCATTTCTCTTGGTGCAGGGACTCCTTGCTCCAGATCCCCTCCGGAAGTGGCAGGCTGTGCACGTGGAGGGGGTCCCAGGGTGGTCGTCTCGTGCTCTGCTCTGATTTGGACCGTAGCAACTCCCATGTGCTCGGTAGCTACCTGGGCCCGGCCCTCCTTGGTGTGCTGGGGATCCTGGAACAACAATTAGAATATGGTCCCTTGAAAGAAAAACACAACATTATCTCACTCATTTATGGATAATAAAGAACATCATAAACTGATGAACAAAAAGATAGATACAGAGACAGAAAAACAACAAACAGACTGTCAAATTACAGCGTGGAGGGTAGGGAGATATGGGAGAGACAAGAGATCAACCCAAGGACTTATATGCATGCATATAAGCATAACCAATGGATGAAAAACTCTGGGGAGGGAGAACATGTATGGGAGTGGGGAGGAGGACAATGGTAAGATATGTATGCATAAAATACCTTAATTAAAAAAATGAAAAAAAAAAAGAAATAGGATATTAGGTAAAAATGAATGAAATTGAATAAAATACAAGGGTTCATAATAGCATATGAAAAAAAAAAAAAAGAATGTGGTCTCTGCCTTCATATGCTTCCCAGTCCCAGTGGGGAAGCCATCAGGGCAAAACACAAACAAATCACGAAAGACAGTGGCATTGAGTGCCTTGCAAGGGGCTCAGAAATGAAGTGTTACAGGTCAGAAGTGGGAAGGAGAGGGGGAATGGAAAGAAAAGGGAAGCTTCTAGAGACTTTGAAGGGGGGTTAGGAAGAAGGGAGGGCATTTGGGAAGAGGGAAGAGGGAATAGAGAGCTAGAGGAGAATGGCTGCCCTGTCCCCATCACTGTCATTCGGGCATGGAGTCCAGAGTTGAGGACCAATGGAGTTTGGGTTTTGCCAATGGCAGGGGACTCAGAACTTGTGTAGGGACGGGGTTGGCAGAAGTTCCCAAAACAGCCAGGTAGTAGATGTTACATTTCTCTTCCCATCTTTGCCTAGCCCTTTTTTGACTGTAGAGACGGGCCCTGGGCTGGCATGGCCTCTGTGTGTGCATTTGCTGTGCACATGTGGAGGAGTGTGCATGATGGGGGAGGTGTGGCCCAGCCTGGAGTGAGTCACCTGCAGACCACAGACTTGCAGAATGAGCAAGATGCTTATTACATTCCCTTAACTGACATTTATTTTCTTTATCTTTTT